GAAAGTTTCAACGAATTTTGCTGGTTAATTGCGAAAGTGTGGAGCCACCTTAAAGAGTTTTTCGATCCGTCAAGAATAACTGAAGTATCATCAGCATATTGAGATAGTACTATTGGTGTATTTTCTATATGTATTCCTTTAATTCTATTATTATTTCTAATTCTGATACCTAGTACTTCTGCACATAAAATAAATAAATACGGGGCAATAGGGTCACCTTGACGACATCCACGTTTAATTTCAAAAAATGGTGATAGATTCCCTCCTTGGTTAATAGATGACTTTGGACACTTGTGAAAAGTTTTGATCCAACTTCTTATATCATTTTCAAAATTAAAAAATTCCAGTACCTTATCATTAAAATCCCAACTTACAGAATCGAAAGCTTTTTCAAAATCAATAAAAAGTAGCATACCAGGTATTTCATTCTTTTCAGCATATTGCATGATGTCATATATTATTCTAGTGTTTTCTCCTATATATCTTCCTGAAATAAAACCTGACTGATCTGTATTCATTAATTTGTTTAAAACAGTTTTTACTCTATTTACGATTGAACCTGATGCTATTTTGAATTCTATTTTTAGAAGTGAAATGGGTTTCCAGTTTTTCAAAAATTGCCTCGGCTTATCTCCCTTTGGTAAACATGTTATGATTCCCTGTCTTTGTGTTATTGAAAGTTCATTATAATTATATCCATATCTTATTGATCTTACTACATACTGACACAGCTGTTTCCAAAAGCATTTTAAAAATTCAGAAGTAAACCCATCAGACCCTGGACTTCTAATGTTTTTCATATTTTTAAGTGTACAAGATGCTTCATTATAAGAAATAGTCCCCTCTAAATTTTCTGATTCTTGACGACTCAATTTTGGAATACTATTACCATTTAAAAACTTATCTAAATTAACCACATGAAGATCATTATCTGCAGAATATATTTTTTCATAAAATTGTTGTACCTCATTTAATATTTCACCTTGTTCCCTAATCAGTTCTCCATTTGCTTTTTCTATTACTGGGATAATTTTAGTAACAAAATTTCTATTTTCAAGATTTAAAAAATATTTAGATGGTTTTTCGCCTTCTTCTACCCATTTAGCTTTAGATCTCAAAATACTTCCTTTTAGTCTATGCATTCTTATTACTTCTAATTCATTTTGTTTTTCTTCTAGTTCTTTCTACATTTTCTTGAGCTTCTAGTTCTTTAATTCTATATCAAAGATAACTTTCCTGTTGTTGTTTTTTTTTTTGGGGGGGGGGGGGGGGGTTCTTGTATGAAGCATACGAAATAGTCTTTCCACTAATTTCAAATAAAAGAGTTTCTAAAAATAGTTGGTCATTGATTGTTAGTTGAATATCTTCATTTGGAATGACAGACAAATAATCGAGGTTGTAAACTGGTAGTGCATATTGTATTTTGATGTCTAAAATATGTTTATCAATAATATTAAGATATTCTCTATCATGAAGCAATGAATTATTGAACTTCCGGAGGCCTTTTCCTTTCTTAAAATCGTTAAAAACTATTGATATAATTGGTGTTGAGTGGTCTGATCGATAGCCTGGCTCAATTGTTGATTTTTCAATACAAGATATCACATTTTCTGAAACTAAAAAATAATCTATACGTGACTGTTTAATTGGGTTTGACCTTCCCCACGTGTAACTTTTGGTCTCTGGGTGCTGCTCTCTATATATGTCTATCATTCCGAATTCATTTATTAACTCAATTACTCTATCTTTTGCTTTAGGATTGTTTACATGTCTATAATTATTGTCATAATCTAGATCAGGGTTCATAACTAAATTGAAATCACAACATATAGTATAAGAGTCATTATTGTAATCATTAATAGCATCTTATAATTTATCGTAAAAACGAGGTATGTCTAAGTTTGGTCCATATAATGTAATTAAAGTAAGTCTTTTTTCTGATATAACCAAGTCCAAAGCTAAAAATTCCCCTCTAAATCCTTCTTTTTACTTATCACATTTGCCTCGAAATTATTATTAAATAGGATTGCTACCCCCTAGAGTTTGATCTAAATGAGCTGAAATGACATGTATATTCCCATTCTGTTCAAATATCATTTTTCATCTCCGCAGTAAAATGTGTATCCTGTATACAGTAAGTATCATAATGTTTGCTTCTAAAGTACCAAAAGACATCTTTACGTTTGTTCTTATCTCCCAGACCCTGAAAATTTGCTGTTAGAAGTTTGATACCTTCCATTTAGAATTGTTGACATTTAAAAATAATATATAGTAGAGCTGCCCTTTTGCCAATCAATTACAATCTGGGACACAGCAGGATAGATGGTAGCTATATAATATAGAGGAGACAAGGATCGATAACACAGTCCCCTGTGGTAGCTATATACTATAGAGGAGATAAGGATTCTAACACAGTCCCCTGTGGTAGCTATATAATATAGAGGAGACAAGGATTATAACACAGTCCCCTGTGGTAGCAATAGACTATAGAGGGGACAAGGATTCTAACACAGTCCCCTGTGGTAGCTATAGACTATAGAGGAGACAAGGATTCTAACACAGTCCCCTGTGGTAGCTATAGACTATAGAGGAGACAAGGATTATAACACAGTCCCCTGTGGTAGCTATATAATATAGAGGAGACAAGGATTATAACACAGTCCCCTGTGGTAGCTATAGACTATAGAGGAGACAAGGATTCTAACACAGTCCCCTGTGGTAGCTATAGACTATAGAGGAGACAAGGATTATAACACAGTCCCCTGTGGTAGCTATATAATATAGAGGAGACAAGGATTATAACACAGTCCCCTGTGGTAGCTATATACTATAGAGGAGACAAGGATTATAACACAGTCCCCTGTGGTAGCTATATACTATAGAGGAGACAAGGATTATAACACAGTCCCCTGTGGTAGCTATATACTATAGAGGAGACAAGGATTATAACACAGTCCCCTGTGGTAGCTATATACTATAGAGGAGACAAGGATTATAACACAGTCCCCTGTGGTAGCTATATACTATAGAGGAGACAAGGATTATAACACAGTCCCCTGTGGTAGCTATATACTATAGAGGAGACAAGGATTATAACACAGTCCCCTGTGGTAGCTATATACTATAGAGGAGACAAGGATTCTAACACAGTCCCCTGTGGTAGCTATATACTATAGAGGAGACAAGGATTCTAACACAGTCCCCTGTGGTAGCTATAGACTATAGAGGAGACAAGGATTCTAACACAGTCCCCTGTGGTAGCTATAGACTATAGAGGAGACAAGGATTCTAACACAGTCCCCTGTGGTAGCTATAGACTATAGAGGAGACAAGGATTCTAACACAGTCCCCTGTGGTAGCTATAGACTATAGAGGAGACAAGGATTCTAACACAGTCCCCTGTGGTAGCTATAGACTATAGAGGAGACAAGGATTCTAACACAGTCCCCTGTGGTAGCTATAGACTATAGAGGAGACAAGGATTCTAACACAGTCCCCTGTGGTAGCTATAGACTATAGAGGAGACAAGGATTCTAACACAGTCCCCTGTGGTAGCTATAGACTATAGAGGAGACAAGGATTCTAACACAGTCCCCTGTGGTAGCTATAGACTATAGAGGAGACAAGGATTCTAACACAGTCCCCTGTGGTAGCTATAGACTATAGAGGAGACAAGGATTCTAACACAGTCCCCTGTGGTAGCTATAGACTATAGAGGAGACAAGGATTCTAACACAGTCCCCTGTGGTAGCTATAGACTATAGAGGAGACAAGGATTCTAACACAGTCCCCTGTGGTAGCTATAGACTATAGAGGAGACAAGGATTCTAACACAGTCCCCTGTGGTAGCTATAGACTATAGAGGAGACAAGGATTCTAACACAGTCCCCTGTGGTAGCTATAGACTATAGAGGAGACAAGGATTCTAACACAGTCCCCTGTGGTAGCTATAGACTATAGAGGAGACAAGGATTCTAACACAGTCCCCTGTGGTAGCTATAGACTATAGAGGAGACAAGGATTCTAACACAGTCCCCTGTGGTAGCTATAGACTATAGAGGAGACAAGGATTCTAACACAGTCCCCTGTGGTAGCTATAGACTATAGAGGAGACAAGGATTCTAACACAGTCCCCTGTGGTAGCTATAGACTATAGAGGAGACAAGGATTCTAACACAGTCCCCTGTGGTAGCTATATACTATAGAGGAGACAAGGATTCTAAGACAGTCCCCTGTGGTAGCTATAGACTATAGAGGAGACAAGCATTCTAACACAGTCCCCTGTGGTAGCTATATACTAAAAAGGAGACAAGGATTTTAACACAATCCCCTGTGGTAGCTATATACTATAGAAGAGACAAGGATTCTAATACAGTATAGAGGAGACAAGATTTCTAACACAGTCCCCTGTGGTAGCTATAGACTATAGAGGAGACAAGGATTCTAACACAGTCCCCTGTGGTAGCTATATACTATAAAGGAGACAAGGATTATAACACAGTCCCCTGTGGTAGCTATACTATAGAAGAGACAAGGATTCTGATACAGTCCCCTGTGGTAGCTATATACTATAGAGGAGACAAGATTTATACTACAGTCCCCTGTGGTAGAGGGTTTGCAGGTAGCTTGAACCTAAGATGAAGGGATTTAAATGCAATTGGAACCTTATATATGGACAGGTAGTCTAGATCTGAACCTATGATAATGTTGTCGCCACTTTCACACCTTCCCCTTTAAGATGACGCCATGTCTATGCACAGATTACACAAGTAACAACACAGGCTACAAAACCAGTATGACCATTACATACAGAGTTATTGCTGGTTCTTGCGACAGAACCAGCTGATGTGCCAACGAGAAAGCAAATAGCCAACTGAAAGAAAACTCGACAACAGATATATAGCACAAAAAAAACTTATTTGAAAAAAGGCTGGTGAAATTTGTCTAATCTACCGGTGAATATGAAAAAAGCAAAATGCCATACAATTGATATAACTTACTTGCTTGTCTGTTTTGTTGGTCTAAATTTTCCTTATATGTTGTGTTATGATCCCGGAATTTGGACCTGTATTTATAAGGCCGTGGTTATCATACACTCTTCAGGCACATCTACATATTGTTTAGCTGAGCGAGAACATGTTTAGACATAAGGCGAGGTCAAGTGAGTTATTGCTAACTGGATTACTGGTTGTTACGACTGTTACCGGTAAGACATATTTAATAGAACAGGTAGGAATAATAAATAGATGTCAAATCATTCATTTATGACATATTAACTAATAAGACACATACATACCATTTGCGTAATAAACATTTAAAATTTGATTCCAATAACAATCAAACAGCCCTAACCACCAACCCAAAACTTTTTTACTATGAGACAGAAAACAAACATTTATTAATTTTGCCTGATGTTAACCAGCGTGCGGAACAAGTCGAGAATGTTTTAGCTTATCTGATTCGATGATGCAGTCATGCAGTTTTTAAAAAGATAGGTTATGGTGAAATGTATTTGTCAAATCTGTCAACCCGTTTGATGACAAACTTTATATTTTCAGTAACTAATTTACTAGAGGTTGGAATGGAAGAGTACATATTGACACTTTTACTTTTGATTCTACGGTAAACAATGTCATGCTTTTACCCACATATTTGGGTGATAATTGAAATATCAGCTCTGAATCAGTAGGAAACTTACACCGGTAGAACATGTGGGTATTAGCTACGTCACAAACCTCGTCAGTATGCTCTTCTATATTATCCAATAGGATAAACAACACGAATACAAACACTATATTCCAAGTGAAACTGGTGACAATAGCATTAATCTTGTCTCCTCTATAGTCTATAGCTACCACAGGGGACTGTGTTAGAATTCTTGTCTCCTCTATATTCTATATCTACCACAGGGGACTGTGTTAGAATCCTTGTCTCCTCTATAGTCTATAGATACCACAGGGGACTGTGTTAGAATCCTTGTGTCCTCTATAGTCTATTGCTACCACAGGGGACTGTGTTAGAATCCTTGTCTCCTCTATAGTCTATAGCTACCACAGAGGACTGTGTTATGATCCTTGACATAGGCACTGACTGATGTTTATTTATAATCACAATAATTAATAAACACAATTACAAAATAGCGTACATCTCACAGACAATCATATAACCCCTAAGCTGTTCATCTCAATATTATAAACCCCCCTTTAAAAATTAACAAATACACGTGTGCTTCTTGTTACCTGTATCGCCTGAATGACACGTACGTGCAAATACCACCAATAGCGCCACCTATTGGTGTATCTCATACCAAAGAGAAAATAATTACATCCTAATTCCTACCGTCACCCGGTTGAAAATATATTTATCGTTAGTGTGAGAACTTATTATATAGCATGCCCGGCATATTGATGTTAACCTCAGCCATCAGTTGTATAACCCCTAATGATAAAATCAGCCATCAGTGCAAGAACCATGACAAATAACCATAGCCATCAATGTAAGAACCATTAATGATAACCTCAACCATCAGTGTTCTTTGTCTTTGTCAAGATTTTATTTCTAAATGGTTCCCATTATGCCAGGGAACCCGTCAAAATTTCCCAGTTCGCACTAGGTCGGATATTGTACTGGGAATGTTAGGTTTACCATCACTTTCTCTGTAGGTATATGTAGAACAATGCAAACTACGATTTTTCGCTGCTTTGTGTAATGTAAAATCTCAATGTTCTGCAAAACAGTTGTTTTTGTTACGTATATATCATATGTATCTTAGTATTTATAAGTCCAAAAGAGGGTTTATACCCGATGTATGGAATATTTTTCATAATTACGATTTACAGTTTTACTTGTACGATTATTTACAGTCTTCCTGCATGCCTAACAAACTTTTTTTTTTTTTAATTTAATTTTTTTATTTTCAAAGATTTTCGGAACATGTACATTATACAGAACATCACATCAACACATATCCACACATTCACACATATCTACTATTGAAATTATCAGCAACCTCATCCTCCTCATCATCCTCATCATCTGATGCTGATTTTATACAATCACCAAGACACATTCAATTTTCACACACTTTCACACATAGAATAGACAAAACAAATGGACAAAGAGCACTGTGTGTGTGTGTGTGTGAGAGAGAGAAAGAGAGAGAGAGAGAGAGAGAGAGAGAGAGAGAGAGAGAGAGAGAGAGAGAGAGAGAGAGAGAGAGATCAGACTGCCAAATCTGAGAAGATACTAAATAAAATAAATAACTGCTGTGAGTATTTGTCAATATTTTGTTTTTTTTAAGTAGAATAACAACTAATAACTTAATATAAATAGTCATAATATTCAGGGTTAGTTGAGGTCAAGCTCTACTAATTTTAACCATTTTTCCCATTCAGAAGTAAATCTTCTAAGGCCTTGTTCCCCTTTACCACGAGCAATATATTTCTGAACCTTATAGTAATCTTTAATCGAATTGACTAAAGCCGTCACATTAAGTGACTTATGAAAACATCTGGTTTTGTATATATATTGTTTAATGAACAGAGTAATTTCATTATCAATTCTGGTATAAATTCCAGTTTGGTTGATAAAACCAAAGATCATTGATTCTTTATTTAGTGAGAAAGGAATAGTGAGAGCACTTAAAAGACTTTCAAAATTGCTCAGAAATTTTTGTACTTCCCTGCATTCCCATAAAACGTGGGTAATTGTCTCCCTTTCTATGATACAAAAAACACAGTGTGGGTTATTTACAAGTCCAATTTTGCATAAATAAGAATTGGTTGTTAAAATATAATGATTAATTCTAAATTGCAACCATTGCAATTTTGTATTTTTTGTAACCCTGAAAGGAATAGCATATATTTTCCCCCAAGTTTCCTGATTATAGTCGAATATAGTTCCCCATTTTGTTTGAGCAGTTATTGATGCATTATTTCTGATAAGTATATTATAGAAGTCTTGAGAACCTTTTTTCTTCTTTAAAATTATTACAAGATGTAACGGTATAATTGGGTATATCACATTTTTGTTTGGCAAATTAAGTTGTTTCAGATAATTCTTTATGCTTGTTATCAAGCCATGATATTCTAGATAATTAGTTATTGTACCATGTAGATCACAAAATTCCTTAAAAGACAAGAAAGAGTAGTCTGTGTTGTTTTTCAACAAATCATTAATTATCATAATCCCGTTTTTAAACCACTTACTATAAAAAACAACTTTATTACCAACAGAAATATTTTTGTTATACCATAAGGGTGTCTTAAGTAGGGCAAAATTCTCATTTTTAAACAGCTCCTCTTTTGCTCTTAATTTATACCATGCCCTAAACACATCTTTCCAAAACACATTTTTGCAATTTCCTTGAACTTTATTAAGGTACTCGTTTCCTGAGTTAGCCAAGATATGAGGATTTACACAAGATTTTAAAATGCTTACCCATTTACCTTCTGATCTAAAAAACCTTCTTATCCAACTTATTTTCAGAGCTTCAATAAAAGACATTAAATTAACCATTTTTAGCCCACCTTCTTGATAATTTTGGATTATTATGTCCCGTTTAATCTTATCAGTTTTGCTATTCCATAAAAAATTGAAAAGAACAGAATTGAGCTGTTTTATAAATTTTTCAGATGGATTAGGTAAGGAAATGAACAGATGATTCATCTGAGAAATTAATAAAGATTTAATGACATTAATTCTACCAATAGGTGTGAGCAACCTTCTACTCCAGCTCTTAATAAGAGCTTTAAGTTTAACTAATTTTTTATCAAAGTTCATTTTAGGTATTTTGCAAAGATCTACATGGAAATCTATCCCAAGAAGAGTAAATTTATTAACTCCCCATCTAAGATTCATATTTGGAAGGAGAACATCATTGCTGTATTTTTTACTGCCTATCCAGACAACTTCAGTTTTACCTACATTTACTTTAAGACCAGATATTTTTGCATAAATATTTAGTTCATCAACCGCCCCTTTCAGTGATTTTTCAGAACCATCTAATACCAGAGAAGTGTCATCTGCATACTGAGAGTTTAAGATGGGACAGTTATTAACCTTTATACCAGTTATACTCTTATTGTTTCTAAGGCGGATTGCTAAAACTTCTGCACATAGTATAAAAATATATGGAGCGATGGGATCTCCTTGACGACATCCACGATTTATTTTGAAAAAAGCTGATAAATTACCCCCCTGGTTTATAGCAGAGCTTGAATTACAGTGTAAAATTTTGACCCAATTTCTGATATCGTTTCCAAATCCAAAATATCTAAGTACTTCGTCTATGAATTTCCAAGAGACAGAATCGAAAGCCTTTTCAAAATCAACCATTAATAACATTCCAGGGATATCATTTTCCTCTGTATATTGCATAATGTCATAAACCAGGCGAGTATTTTCTCCTACATAGCGTCCCGATATAAATCCTGATTGATCAGAGTTTATAATTTTTTGTAAAACTAATTTGAATCTACTTGTTATTGATCCAGAAGCAATTTTGTATACAATGTTTAATAGAGAAATAGGTCTCCAATTCTTTATAAAATACTTTGATTTATTAGCCTTAGGTATACAAGTAATTATTCCCTGACGTTGTGTAATAGATAGCTGACCATTTGAAAAACCATAATTTAATGCCCTAACCACAAAATTACCTAACTGATTCCAAAAACATTTATAAAATTCTGATGTGAATCCATCTGAGCCTGGGCTCTTATTACTTTTCATATTCTTTAGTGTTATAGATGCTTCTTTAAGTGTAATAATACCTTCCAAACTGACCGCTTCTTCAACATTTAATCTTGGAACATCAAAATCTTCTAAAAATTCATCCAAATCTATGTCATCGACTTCATTATCAATAGAATACAATTGTTCATAAAAAAATTTCACCTCATTTAATATATCTACTTGTTTAGTTAGAAATTCCCCATTTTCCTGTTGTAACTTTGGAATGATTTTTGATGTAAAATGTCTATTTTCTAAATTAAAAAAATAATTGGTAGGTTTTTCACCCTCATCAATCCATAAGGCTTTTGCACGTATTATACTCCCTTTTATCCTATGTACTCTAATCTTTTCCAATTCCTT